CCAGGTCCCCTGTGCTATGGCCAGCACTGCTCAGCTGCAGTTCAGCCAGGTCCCCTGTGCTATGGCCAGCACTGCTCAGCTGCAGTTCAGCCAGGCTCCCCTGTGCTATGGCCAGCACTGCTCAGCTGCAGTTCAGCTAGGTCCCCTGTGCTATTGCCAACAAGCCCTCTGGGCTCCTCCCACAGATCATTCTTCAGTGCCTAATGTCCTGTATCTCACATCATGCTTCTTTAGATTTCATTTGGTTTTGTTTTTAAATTGTTTCACGTGCACAAGTAAACCTGGTGTATTACTCTGTTTCACCCACAAGCACAGAAGTCTGTTTCTTTTACTGCTCAGTGGTTTTAACTTCATTTTAAAATTTTTCAGCTTTTACCTGCCATGATAGTGGAGCCACTGTGTTAGCATATGCTCCCAAACATCAACTACTGATATCCGGTGGCAGAAAAGGCTTCACATGTGTATTTGACCTTCGACAACGCCAGCAAAGGCAACTCTTTCAGAGTCATGATTCTCCTGTTAAAGCTATTGCTATTGATCCAACTGAAGAGTACTTTGTTACAGGGTCGGCAGAAGGCAATATAAAGGTAAACACAATTGATATCCCAGTGTCTACAGCTTGGAAGACTCAAGGCCCAGCACCGGTGGCTCATGCCTGTCTTCTTCCTAACTACTCAGGAGGCTGAGAGTTGAGGATCTTGGTTAAAAGCCAGCGTGGGCAGGAAACTCTGTGAGACTCATCTCCAGTTAAACAACAAAAAAAGCCAGAAGTAGAACTGTTGATTCAAGAGTGCCAGCCTTGAGCAAAAAAGCTCAGGAATAACACCAAGGCCTTGAGTTTAAACCCCAGGACTGATGCCAAAAACAAAAAACCTCTTCAGAAAACTTTGCCTTGAAGTCATGTTAATGACACTAGTCTACTATTGTAGTCAGCAGTACTAACTGCTATTTAATAAATCTTCTGAGTATGATTTTTATATTTATATATACATACATACATATAAAGTAATTGTTTTTTTTTTTTAATTTTTTGCCAGCCCTGGGGCTTGAACTTGGCCTGGGTGCTGGGTGCTATTCCTTAGCTCCATTAGCTTAAAGCTAGTACTCTGCCACTGCTCCACCTGCAGTCTTTTCTGTGATTAATTGGAGATAAGTCTCTTGGACTTCCTGTCCACGTTGGCTTCAAATCTTCAATCCTCAGAACTCTGTCTCCTGAGTAGCTAGGATTCTAGGTGTGAGCCACCAGCGCCTTGCTTGACTGTGATTATATTTAACTTGAAAACTTTCTATTATTTCTCAATTGTTTTAAAATATGTTTTATTCATTCTTAAGGACAAAATTTTTCATGGATATAAAGATGTTTCAGATGTTAGTTTAGTCTGGCCATGATGGCTCATGCCTGTAATCCCAGCTTCTTGAGAGGCAAAGATCAGGAAGATCACTCATGGTTTGAGTCTACCACAGGCAATTAATGCATGACCCTATTCAAAATAACTAAAAGCAAAAAGGTCTGGGGACTTGGCTCAAGTGGTAAAGTACCTCCCTACCAGGCACAAGTTCTTGAGCAAATCCTGGTACGCCAAAAAAGTCTTGACTCCATATTCTTATCTAATTTACTGAATTTAATTTTCTGGTGTACTGAATAGTATGCTATCATTTTAATTTTAATCCATATTCTTCCCTATTCGAGAAATCTGTACCTGGAGAAGCCTTGCCTATAGCAGGCTTTTTCAAACTATTGTGTTTAAGATTTAGAGAAATTGTTCAAAATGTTAAGCAGTTTGTTAAAACTGCTAAGGATCTCACCTAAGAAACACTGGATTGTGAAGTCCAGGGCTGCAGCATGCCCACACAGTAGTGTGGGTGGAGGGCCCCTTGGCCTTGTCAGGTAATAGGTAGCACAGTGGATACTGCATTCCTGACGGGTAGGGCAAGGCTACTTTCCTAATGGGTCAAGGGTAGAATACTCCCTTAATGGGTTAGGTCAGAGCAGACTACTCTGATGATGAGTAGATTCTCCGTGCTATTTTAAGGTCAGCAGCCCTGGATTTGAGGGGTTCTCGTTTAGAATTCATTAAGCACTAGTGGCGTATTTAGTGCAGTTAGGTGGACTTCTTTGTTATAACTGGCATATTGTTTTCATAATTCTTAGCCCAGAAAACCTAAAATTGTAGAATTTTGAAAAGGCATTTCTCAAAATGAAATATAATTGTTAGCACAGTTATTGTTCTTTGGTTTGCAGCAAGTTTCTTATCTGGCCTTTAGAATGAAATGTAGTTTGGTATAGATCAACTCTTTAGTTTTTGTATACTGATTCTGAGGTTCATTCTTTTACCATGCAAAAAAAATAGAAAATACACAATGTATTCAGAAGCTATAATTTAACAAATTCATATACAGAGTAGTATGAGTAAACAAATTTTGGAGAGACAAGTTTCCTTCCAAGTGTTGTATATATCATTAGGAAATAAACGGGCCTTGCTAAACCTGAAGCCAGCGTCCTAAAGGCATAGATCTTCTACCTATGTTAAAAAATGGGATTGGAGGTGTGGCTCAAATGAATACCACTTGGTGAGAAAGTTCAAGGTGTACAGAGTTCTTGCCATTAACTGCCAAAAACAACAAAAAAAGAGGGAGAAGAGAGGACATTTATTTTGATAGAGCTGAAAACAGGAAACTCTTAGTAAATTAAGTATTCTGAAGTTGACACGTCTTGTGATTAGAATGTCGCTTTTCTAGGCTGCAGGGCTTCTAGATGTCAGGAGGAGCCTCTGGCAGCTGCTCTGATCTCTTGCGTGCGTGCTCCCTCTTGTAGCAGAGGATCATCCCACTGTACCGCAGTCTGCAGCATCCTGTGTGTGTGTGCAGTGCACAGCAAAAGCTCTGCCGAGAGAGAAAATGTCCCTGCAGTGTTCCAAGATTTTGTTCCTCGTGTCTTTCTCATTTCCAATATTGCGCTAATATTAACTTACTCTTTCACTGGATGGATATTTTTAAGTATTTAGTATTAAAGCAATTGGTAAATTGCAACACCCTGTTCACAGTTAAGGTGTCATCATAAAGCTATACAGATTTTTCTTCCTTCTTTGTTTATCTGCACAGAAAGGCAGGCTTAAGTTTTCATTTGGATTCTTAAGTCAGTTCTCCTTTTGTTTTTTATGTCTTTCAGATCTGGAGTCTTTCTACCTTTGGTCTTCTCCACACTTTTATCAGTGAACATGCTCGGCAGTCCATTTTTAGGAATATTGGGACTGGTGTGATGCAGATTGAGACGGGACCAGCAAATCACATTTTCTCTTGTGGAGCTGATGGGACAATGAAGATGAGGATACTGCCAGACCAGTTTAGCCCCTTTAATGAGGTGTTAAAAAATGATGCAAAACTTGTGCTGTAGCAGAAAAGCTTATAACTTATTACTTGTTTGATGGATGTGGCCAACAAAAGTAATGTCCACTATGCCACAAATAAGCCACTGCTTCCTTGTTTCTGTATCTATGGAGCTTTCTCCCACGCACTGATGCCTTAAAAATTAACAAAGTCACTCAAATTAGATCATATTGCCTAACGTAGGATGAATAAGCAGTGCGGTAACCATTCCTGTTTATAGTCTATTATAGTGTGTTAGAGTTAAAGGAATTCTGTTTTCTTACTGGTGACACACTTCTGCAAATACCTCTGCATGACATTAAGTAAAGGCAGTTGCACATAATCCATATCACTTAATTTGCAATGTTCTCACTTCTTTTATCGGACTTATACCTTTCTAACTTCCCTTAATTAGTGACGGATCAATATTTGAGTAAGAATCAAACACATAATTAAATCTCTGTTGAAACTGTCCTTGGGACTTCGGTGATTAAGGAGCCGAATGGTTTATTGTGTCAGGTTCTCACCAGTGCCCTCAGGAGCCCAGCTGTATGTGTGTAAATGTTTCTGTGTGTGTGTGTGTGTTACACATCTTATTTGAATTTAGTTTCATATATATAGTATATACATATATATATACACACACACATATATACGTGTGTGTATATCTATATATACAAATCTACAAGATTTTCATGTGTTTTTGTGCCATAATGACTGCTATCAGAATAACAACTTCTTTAGCAACTATGTTTTTCCATTACTTTTTTTGAATTCCCATCCTAATTTTATTAAAATAAATCTTCAGACTTCCAAGAGTATTATTTTAAAGATTACATTGAGTAAAACAAATCTTACTAGGAAATATTTTCTGTTGATACTTATACTTACAAGTGAGTTTGTGAGTTTGTCAGAGTTTTGAGCATCAAACACTTAAATTTTATTTTTACCTTATTTCTCACATTTTTAGGTGCTTTCATTCTCACAGTTCTGAAAACCTTATAGCAGTGTTTTTAGAAACAAATGTGAAAAGAGTCAGTAGATAGTATTCACAAATGTAAAATGCCCCCCCCGAGCTACCATTAATAGAAAATAAACCTTATATTTTATTATTTTTGCCAAAATATTTTATTATTAAATATGACCAAAATATTTAAAATGCACAATGTTTTTAACTTAACTATGCTTATTCTATTTCTGTCTGTTTTGTGCTATTCCCTTTCTGATTCAGAATTTTAGGAAACTTGATAAATACTTGATCTTAACAAAGGAGACTGAGGTAGAAACAACTAAGTATATACGAAAGTATTGTATGCTGTTTAGCCTAAATTTATTTTGTTTAGTTGGAACTATAAATTAAGAGCATTTTTATGTAATGAAATATGGACAGTTGTTATATTGAAAATGAAAGAGTCAAATAAAGCAAAGAAATGAAGGGCTGGCAAAATGAATTTTGTAATATCCTCAGGATACTTTTGTTATAAAAGTATATTGCTAAAGATTTTGTAAATTGTATTTCATAATTTTAAATGTATTGAGCAGGTTGCAGTGATAACACTGTCATTATACAGAGAGTTTATTTGCACAGAAGAAGCTGCACCTGTGGGTCACGCACTAACATATTCCATGGGGAAATCTGTGACAACGTCGCAAACAATTCTGCTGTTTGCTGTAGTTAGCTTAAGGTATTTTTCTGTGATTTCTTCACAAATCAAGATTCAAAAGGCTTTAAACACTATTGTTCAATGAGATAGACATTTTACTGTTGTGCTTGCTAGAACAAAAGGCATTGGGAAAGAAACTATGAAGCATTTTAATGAGGATTTATATGAATAAACCATAAATTATGTAAGATCCTATGTATTTACATTCAGAGTCATAATATTTTAAATAAATAATCATGCAGTTACTTTTTTGGCATGCTATTGTTTTAAGTAATACTTGTGCCACTTTAGTTGACTTTGAGTATGTGACACTTTCAAATGGAAAGTTTCTATGTTCACATTTCACCAAGGTAGTTCCTCAAAGACCCTCTTGTTCCTTGTTTCTTTTCTAGTCTTTTACTTAATAGGTGGTGTTATTCACAACAGGTGGGAATAAAAATAATTGAAATGTGTAGATAAGTATAAAATGGTATGCATATATGTGAATTTTCATTGGGTACAGCAAAATACATTTTTTTTTTCTGGTTGTGATGCCTGAACTCTGGGCCTGGGCGCTGTCCCTCAGCTCTTCAGCTCAAGGCTAGCGCTCTACCGCTTGAACCACAGCGCCACTTCTGGCTTTTTTCTTTTTGCTTATGTGATGCTGAGGAATCGAACCCAGGGCCTCATGCATGCAAGGCAAGCACTCTACCACTGAGCCACCTTCCCTGCCCGCAAAATACATTTTTAAAGTCTGTATTTTCTGATAATGTAGCTTTGTTACAAGAACTCACAGCACTGCAGCTCTCCTCATCTAGAGTACAGATATTTTCCTGCTTACTTGCTGTGTAAGATAGTCACTTCTGCATTCTTCTTGCCTGCTCTGTACCCTTGTTGTACGTCCTTCTTTAAAAGGAAAAAATTGTATGCTGAGGGCCAGTGGTCCATGCCTGTAATCATAGCTACCCAGAAGGCTGAGATCTGAGGATCAGGGTTCAAAGCCAGCCAGGCAGGAAAGTCCACAAGACTCTTATCGCTAATTAATCACTAGAAAACCAGAAATGGTGCTGGGAAGGTGGCTCAGTGGTAGAGCACTTGCCTTGCATGCATGAGGCCCTGGGTTCGATTCCTTAGCACCACATATGCAGAAGAAGAAGAAAAAAAGCTAGAAGTAGCACTGTGGCTCAAGTGGTAGAGCCCTAGCCTTGAGCTGAAGAGCTGAGGGACAGCGCCCAGGCCCACGACAGAACCAAAAAAAAAAAAAAATTGCAAAACAACTGAAACAGTTCAGAGAGAAACATTTAAAGAAAAGCCTTATGCAACCTTAGAGAATTATGATTTTTAACTGAAAACTTAGGACATGTACTTAACAGAAAATTTTAAGGTCATCTGACAGGGGACTACAAAGTTAAAAGAATAAGTGATAGACTAGAAGAAATAATTTTCATCGTGATAGGAAATGTGTATGTATGAAGACTTGATGATCACAGGAAAGCAGGAAAGTTTGTGGGACTCTTATCCAATTAAACACCAGAAAAACAGGAAGTGGTGCTGTGGCCCGAAGAAGTAGAGCACTAGACTTGAGGGAAAACTGTAGCTCCCAGACCCTGAGTTCAAGCCCCAGGATGGGCCAAAAAAAAAAGTCAAAATAGGAGCTTGGAGAACAAAAACTCAGCCAATGATGCAGATGATCAAGTTGTGAAAGCAAAGGAAAAGTTGTTTTTCTTTTGGGGTGTGTGTGTGATACTGAGACTTAAATTTGGGGTCTCATGCTTGCTAAGTAATTGCCACACCCGCAGCCCTTTCTGTTTTTCTGTCATCCTCACATTTCCTTGCAAGTGGCCCACGTTTTCAAATGCCATCTTCTCTGCCTGTGTCCTGTTCAGGGAAATTTGAAGGTTCAAAGACCTCTTTACACTTTGAACATTTCCAGTTTCCTTTTACGTCTATCTAGTAAAGTTGCTTTAAAAGCTTCATGGGTTTCTTACACACCAAGTTGTTATCCACTCTAGCAGACCAAAACCGCGGCCGTGTCTCTCTTCAGCATAACTTCCTTTCTCCCCCCAGTGTGTTCACGCCCATTTTCACTGCACCTTCCACAGCGCCATGCAGTGGCTGTGCAGTGAGAGGGCCACTGTCACCGAGGAAGCACAGCGGGGGCCAGAGAAGGAACGCGTCCTCAGCAGACAAGCCCCAGATGACCAGTCCTCTTCAGCCTGACCTTGAGCTACCCCGGGGCGTCTTTGGAATGCGGCTAACGGCCATCTACACTTCGCCTGGTTTATTAGCTTGAGCTTTTATCGGCCCAAAAGTTCGTGACTCCAGAGGTCGCTAACAGCTATTTGCAAAGTTCCTGTTGCTGTTACGAGTGGGTTATTGGGAGCTTTCGATCTGAGGCACGTCCATGATTCCCACTGGAAACACCCCAGCCGGTCACAGGTGTGAGCAGGTGACAGGTCATCACACTGGTGGGGCAGGTGGCAGGTCGTCACACTGGTGGGGCAGGTGGCAGGTCATCACTGGTGGGGC